AAAAAAAAAAAACACTCAAGGTGTGTGATAATCATAGTATTAATTATTTAATATAAAAGTTCAATATCACATAATCATAGTATCAATTATTTAATTAAGCTGATAGCTAGTGGTGGAGTTCACACAATATCCCACCATATCATGAGCTAATGCAACAAGTTCTGGTCCCTCTTTTTCTTATAATTTTTAAATCTCCCCCTTTTTTTTTCTTTATTTGCATGGTGCTCTTTTATTTTTTCCCTCCTTTGGAAACTTTTGCAAGTATAAAATCTTAGCCTAGCCTGCACAATTAAGGCAATTAAGCATTACTATAAAAGGCTATTTACATCTCATTATAATCATGCCAAAAACCGAACTGCGTAAAGGGCCGTGGGTCGAGGAGGAGGACGAACAACTAGCTGCAGCCGTGGCCGTTTTAGGCGATAGAAGATGGGATGCATTAGCAAAATCATCAGGTTTTTGTATATAAATTTTTCAAGATCAATTAGTGACAATATTTGTTTTATTTATTTATTATTAATTTTTTTTTGGACCACAAAATAAGGATGATATAAAGTGTTGTATCTATGAAGGTTTAAGAAGGAGTGGAAAGAGTTGCAGGCTGCGATGGCTGAACTATTTACGTCCCAATTTAAAGCACGGAAATATTTCTCCGGAGGAAGAAAAAATAATCTCCAAACTACACGAGAAATGGGGCAATAAGTACGCGCTTATAAGCTAAGCGCTATATAGTCTTGATGTTTTTAATGCGTGCGATGATAGTTGATATAAATATTTTGTAACTTTATGTAATTGAGTATATGTTTAAAGGTTTGCCGATGTGTTAGGTGGTCAAAAATTGCTAGGAGATTGCCGGGAAGAACAGACAACGAGGTAAAGAACTACTGGAGAAGTCACTTGAGGAAGAAAGGTAGTGTTCTTGATCAAAAAGGTAATGAAATATCAAACTATGGTATAATGAAGTCTTCAATTAATGTTAACAACATTAATTGAAAGTTGAAACACATAAATTTTGTTGGAAACTCTCTTGGATGCTTAGAATGCTCGGAATATGGCACTGCCAGCCCTTGTTCGTTCCACGATGATCAGAGGTTTTCGGCTAAGGACGACGAATCGGGACCCTCGGATCGCGATTCGTGTGATGAGCTCGAGATGTTGACTTTTGCAGCGTCGTCGCCTTACGAAACCAGGTTGACCGAGTGGATGTTGACTTATGATGACCTTTGTGATAATCAGGAATGTACATATGATGAATGGATCAGTGCTAGTTCTTGGTTTGTTTCTCTATGGGGATGAGACTTGGTTTGAGTGTGATATAAAGAGTTGAATGAAACTAACACCATGTATTGGTTTGTAAAGTTCAGTGTAAAAAAATATTGTTTAAGTTTATGGTAAAATAATAGTTACAAATGTTATACTGATATTGTTGCTCAATAATGTCTTTTCTTAGGCAAAAGTTTCAATTTTGGTCCTCTAAATTGGCCATTGTCCAGTTTTAGTACACCAGCTTTCCTCATAAAAAATAGTCCACTATGTTACAATTTCGTCAATTTTAGTACAGTAATCCCGAGGGACCGGATTACGTGATGACATAGAAAATTGTAATCCTTCCATATCAAAGTCCTATCCATCCGCGTCGTTTGAATCCAGGTACAAATTAAGCCATAACTATTTGGTTTTTGTTGGAAGTCAAATGGAACTAATTACATGGATGACATCAATTGGATACTAGGATCACACTAGGTCATGCTTATAATTGTAGAAAGAAAAAAA